TAGTTAACTTGACACATATTTCGAGTTTGCATTTATATTTTTTTTTCTGTGCTTAACTATCAATATTCCAATATTTGTGCTCGACAACAAATCGGACAGATTTCTAACTTTAATTAATTGGGTTGATAATAAGTAATAATACTTTCTAACACATTGACGTTAAGTACAGACATCTTCGATTTAATTAATGTTCCTTAATTACACAATTTTTAAACCGATATACATTGCAATACATGTACTAAATAAAGCTCTGATCTAATTAGAAATTATATATTCACTGATTATTATTATTATTAATCACAATTGTTTTTGAACTATACACTACATTTTCTGGGTGAAATGGAAAAATGAAAAAAACTATGAATTTAATTTAACGAAATATCTAATTGCATGTGAAATAAAATAAATAGTCAATACATAGCCTGTAGTAGTTGTTCAGGTTTGACCAATAAATCTGTGTTTTAAAATATTGATCTTGTTATTTTTATTTTATTTATAAATTTATTTAATTTTTTAAGAAGGCTTCAAAAACTAGACCATTAGTCCCTTAGACTTAATGTGTCAAAGGTACAGTAGGATTATCAGTTTTACTGAAAGTCTTGTTTTTGGAACAGTTGATGGTGAATGGTGGTGGTTTCTTCGCTCAAGGCTGTGATCAAACCCATGATAACCAAATCGCCGGTAACCATACATTAAAGCACAGCAATCTTATCCACTCTGGCCCTCCATAATACATTTATGTTTGGTATTTACTAATATATTACATTATATTGATCATTTTTGAAACGTTAGTTATCAGTTAAACTAATATTTACGTTCTATACATGTATATATTTATGTTATTTTTGATATTATAACAAGAGAACGGATTTAAATGCTCTGCAAATTAAGTAAAATTTCTTGAAAAAATACGATTTAATCCATTCACAACAGATATTTTTTTTTTAAAAAATGCATTAAATAAGTACTCTTAAAATTATTTTTAACATTGAAAAATGTTGTATTGTTATAATTTAAATCTTAATCCTCATTAATAATTCGTATAATTTTATTATTTTTCTTCTCCCATTACCTTTTTATCCTGAAAATTATTTTCAAAAAATGAATTCGCAATTTAGATAGATACATAAAAAACTTAATAAATGATAAAAAAAATATTTTATTTTATTCTTTTGTAATGAATTTAAATTAAATTTCTGTCAAATTGTATTCATTCTTATATAAGTGACTTAATAACATAAAAATACACAATGTTTTCGGACATTCGGAATAAATACGTTTTTTATTCAAATCCATTCCTTATGTAATAAATTTAATTAATTCAATTTAATTAATTCATTAATAAAAAATACATATTTTTTTTTTAGAAATCAAGTACTGTGATCTAAATTGATTTTTTTTCGTCGAGATTTTAAAAACAATACAAATGTGATGGATTATCAAATAGGAAAAATGTATGTACATGCGTATACAAGTGCATGTATTTTAAAATTAATAATATAAAGTTAGTCTACCGGACCACGAAAACGTGAAATACTCGAGGAAAATGTTAAGGTGTTAGTACAAAATGTATGTAATGTAGCTCCATTTAGGAAAAACAGTAAGTACACATAATGACTGAATACTTAGAAAAAAAAACTGCGAGTAAAACTTTTCATTTTTTTTTAGAATATTTACAGAACTTTTATGTTATACGAAAAACGTTAACCCCGACTTTATGTAGTTGGATTTGCGATAAATACTGACACACCGAATAAAATATTTTTAACGTTTAATTTACCTCTCTTTCAATAATAATAACAGTCTATTTGATTTTTTTTTTAGTTTCTATTGATCAACACGAGTTCAAATATTATACCAAGAATATTAAAATATTAAGATCTTATATTCACTGAATATAAATAACAAATACAGAATTAAAATACAGAAACATTAGAGTTAATGTCATCATAATTTACATTGGCAAATGTCTTACGTTATCTATATAAACCTGTATTTGGTTATCAGCAAGGAAGATTGTCAACTCCGCCAAAATATCGGTTAGGATAAAAGGGTAATAAAAAGTATAATGTAAACTTCGCCAGTTTTTTTGTCTTTTGCCTGTAAATTCTTTCATAGTTATCTAAGAAATTAATTTTATAAAAGTCAACCGAATGTTCATATTTTTAGTAAAGTTCTTACTGATTTTCAAACCCATACTAATATAAAACTAAATGGAATATCTCAAGTAAATAAGTAAAAATTCGAAAAAAAAAAACGACAGTGTTAAGGGATACTATAAATAGGTACACTAATGAAGTAATATAGGACTTAAAATACTTACAAATTATATCACATAGTTTTGTTTACATACTTGACATAACTATATATTTTTGGATTATTAGGTATAACGATTATTTATTATGATTTTTTTGCTATGATTTAAATATTTAATGTGAACGATATGTTATATTATATTATAATTTTTTTTTAATGATATATCATATTAATTTTATACTACTACTTGATTTTCTTCACTGGCGTTTACATGAACTTAATTTTACCTGATTTTTTTCGGTGGTGGAGTTTACATGAACCTAATTTTACCTGTTTGTTTTTTTTTTCTGGTGGAGTTTACATGCGCCCATCAGCAAATTATCTAAATAAAACGATAAAATTTTCAAGCAGAAAGAATTAAAATTTGGAAATTCGAAACGAACAATCGTTTTAGTTTCAATTTGAATTATGTTTTTTTTTTTTTATTTTATTAATTGGTTTTAGCTTTTAAACCATAATTCATATAGGGAGATAACTTGAAAAATTATCAACCAACTCAATTCGACCTCTAGAAAGAGGTATATCAATATCAAAATGAAAAATATTCTATGTATATACCGAGAACCGTGTATGATTTAAATAAGAAAAAAATTTAAACATTTTTTTTTTATAAATATATTATATTTATTTTCAAATTCATTACCTCGAGTCCACGACAATTAAACTCTAAAATGTCAAATAAAAAGTTCTCCAAACCCCTTTAAGTGAAATTAATAGTGTCATAATATCAATGCAATAAAAAAAAATTCGTTGTTTAAATAACGTTTTAATTAATTAATTAATTCGTTATTAAATTTGACTATCAAATAAACTATTCTTAAGGTTAAATTAATTATATTTTTATAAATTTTAAGTTTCAGCTCGCTTGGGATTTACATTTTGTTTGAACATAGTTTTACTATTCATTTACTATGTAATTTCATGGCCAGCTTGAAAGTATGTATACAGCTGTATAGTATAATACAATGTGTTAGTTAAATTAAAATACTAATTACCAATTAGATGTATACATTTTGTTAAACTTAGCGATTAAAATTCGTTAGAAAGTAAATTTTTTTTTAAATTTGAAACGATTCCTGTTATACATATATCCAAAATAATTGTAACTATAATATAAATTTATATGTTTCACACATATATATTCAATTATTTTTATTTCATAGAAACCTATAATTACTATATTATACTTTTACTCCGACTCTGTTGTGTTATAAATTTAGTGCATCCCATCCGTATTTTTTTTACAACCGACAATCTAGGTATAACTGTAATTCGTTTTGGCGCAAAACTCGAAATCACGAGTAATAATATCAGTTTGATTGTTTTAATGATTAATAAAATAAACAATTTGCAGTAAGTCGTTGAAATCTAACGCAATAACCAACAAAATCAACAAGTTTTAATCGTTTACCCACATACGTGATTCATGTGTTATAATATCTGTGTAAATAATGTGATAATTAAATTTGGTATATTATATACGTACGATATAATCACTGGTGTATAGTTGATTGCGTCTTCACAAAATACTTAAAATCCATGAGTACCACCTACTCATATATTAATCGGAGCGTTTCATAACGATGAATCTATCATAAATATATTTCTGAAGAATCCTCACGGGATCTTGGTTGCATAATCAAAAAAGGGAAAAAAAAATAATTAGTAAAAATAAAAAAAGCATGAATAATCTGATTTGAAAATGTAGTCGATTACGGCGAGTGGAAGAAAAGAAACAGTTTATATAGTAATATGCAAATAAGAATAAAAGTTTGTTATAAAAACGAAATGATTCCTAAAAGTTGTTAAAAGTAAAAATATTTTTTATAAGGGGAACTGGTGTGGTCTTCTTTAAACGAACTCGATACACAAATGTTATTTTTCCCCAAAGAAGAATCGGAACTTGTTTTATTTTCTTTGAGCTTTATCACGTCAAAATTACAGTGGACAGGATAATCGTGTACGTCGGCTGTGACAATAAATAAAATACAATCAGCAAATATACGCGCGACCGCTCTCACACACAGACCAAACAACTTGGGAGAATTAGAAGCGACGACTATATCAAGGCCGTATCCGAGGGGTCCTGCTATAAAATGTCATCAAAGTTCTAAGACTTAATTGTTTAGCAATCTTTTCCAACTAAAAACACGTTCAACGTTTTTCCCTTTAACAGTCTGGAGACTTTTCAAAGAATATATTATTATTACGAAATATCTATTTACAAGTTTCTCGAGAAATCGTTATGCACATAAGCCACGGCGTTATCGGAATAAAATAATTCGATTCTACAGAAATAACTGGATGCGAAACATTTTTAAAATTTTAAAAATTTTAGTCGTACGTTGGTACCGATCATATAATAATACTATTTGTATTTCGGAGTTTTCGAAATTACGGGAAAATAAAGTTGTAGAAGCAACACACTGCTTTCGACGCTGCACTACAGTGTACCTATTAGAACTATAACGCGCTATCGTTGTTTATTGCTTCGTTTTACGTACTGTTGTTTGCATACACGGTGGAAACGTGTGTAAAAACGAGCGATAAAAGAACGGGCACCGTCGTAGTCTCGTGTCGGACCGGTGAATAATATTAAAAACTGTATATCTACTACCGTTATCTGCTCGCGGTCGAAACCGACGAACGATCGAAAGACGGACGTGGACACGGGGCACACTCACCTCGGTTGCTGCATCGGTTGCACACGCACGGCGGTGCATGTCGCGCGGCGCACAGTGAGCACCAGCGATAGTGCGACCGGTCAGCGGCGGCGGCGGCGGTAAGGCGCGCGACGATCGTGACCCGGGTGACGGGACGCGCCGAGGAGTGGTTGAAAAGAGTTCGCGGAAAAACACTCGTCGCCGTCGTCGTAGTCGTAGTCGTCGTCGTCGTCGTCGTAGTCGTCGTCGTCGTCGTCGGTGGCGGTAGCGGGAAGCGCGCGCGCCACGAACGGCGAGAGAAAACAAAAACTCCGCTCGCGGCCCAATCAATAACCCGTGTTTTTCCGCAGACGTCCCGTGCTTATTGAAAAATTATATTATAAAAAATATAAAACGAAAAAACGGTGGTGGCGGGCGAAGCGGCTGAGGAGGGGAAAATGAAACGTAGAAAAAACGTATAAAAAGAAAAAATATATAAATATTGAAAACTCGCGCGCTGACGGGCGGGCCGTGGCCGACGGGGAACGGGAAACGAACACGCGTCCGAACTCGACACCGGAAAAACTAACGGCGTACCGACGGCGGTATTTTCGCGGTACAATTATTGCTGTCGGCACATCACACGGTCATATGATTATTATTAATTCTCGTCGCGGCGGGAAAATGTTGTGAAAAAAATGAAAATAAAATAAAATGAAAACGACGAAATCCGTTCGACGGCGGTGCCGCGCGGTTAACGGACGTCACGCGGTCGGCCGGAAGAAACGGTCGAAAACGACTCGTGCGACGGAGAGGCCTTGCCTGCGTCCACGTGCGCGTAAGAGCGGACCGGCGTGCGGGCGTGTGCGGCGCAGTCGGGTCGGGCGCACGGGATAAAGGCGGCCGCCGCCATTCAACGCGGAACGGTGTATAATCACACCGACTGCGAAAGTTCGACTGGAAAAACTTTTACGCGCGCTATCTCTGTCGCACGCCGCCGCTGACGGTACCCTCTCCCCGCTCCAACCACCCCGTCAGCTTCCTGGCCCTCTTATCCCCCTTCCCTCCCTCCGACCGGTCTTTTCTTCCTCGACGATTTGGCCGCCGCCTCCGCTGCGCAGCCCCGTCGTGACTACTACTACGACGACGACGACGGCGACAGCGACGCGCGGCGCTGCACTTTATCCAATCTTTCCCATTTCCCGTTTTTGTGTCCAGACCGAAGTCGCTCCCTCCTCTCCCCTCCTCGTTACGGTCTTGCCGAAAGAAATTACTTTAAACAGCAACAAGCCCTCTCCGCCCGTGCCACCCCACCGCCGTTTCCGTTTGGCTCGTTCGTGGACTTCGACTTTTTCCTCGTTTTCTTTTTCCCTCACTTTTTCCCATCTCCCCCCATGCACACTGTTACTTCCTTCGTGCCGCGCTCTCCGTTCCGTTTCGCTGTACCCGCCGCATCTTCAAGCGCCCGCACGCGCCTCCCGACCGTCACGAACTTTTATACGCATCCGCCCACTCGGCCCCAGACGCCACGCGATCTTTTTGTTGATCGCTCTCGCGACCGCCACCCAAACGCGAGGAGCAACACGCGCACATTTCCAGCTCGATTCGACATGGCGACCACCGTACACGGATTCGTTCCGGCCGCACGCGAACGACGTCGATTCGTTCTCTATCGAGTGTTCTTAAATGTCCGCGGCCGGGGAGGGGGATCGCGCGGTTGTTTCGGGCTCGTCTCAAACCCAACACGAACTGTCTACGGCGGTAAACATTTCGTACGCATAAATTATGTTCAACTGTGTGGTAACGCGTACAGAACGTATGGGACTACGTTGTTAGTATTATTATTATTATTATTATTATTATTATTATTATTATTATTATTA